GTAGGCGAATTTTACCTCAGGTGATTTTTACCCACTAGGTAAAATTTATAGGGGGGTAAAAATCGCCTGTTACGGTAGGGGAATTTTACCTCAGGCGATTTTTACCCCCCCGGTAAAATGTATAGGGGGTATAATTCGCCGGTGACACCGGCTTTACCGTATGTACATATACATACTATTTATTAGGTTTATTAAAAAATACATTATTTCAATATTTTTTAATGAGATGATTAAATCATAAAAATCCATGTTTCTATTATTTTTTTTGGTAACTATATGTTATTACTTTTTCGGTAGTTATTGAGTTATGGTATATAATGTCTTTAACACGAGAACCAAACGATGGTTTGAGATTAAAACTGTATGTCGCAAGAACTTAAACAATTGTAAAAATATATGTATATATATTAAATTTGTTTTTAACGACTCGAAACCATGTGCATATATTTTTCTTCAAAAACATTATTAATTTTTGAAATAATGAATGTCTTACGTTAAATAGATTGCTTGATATACCTATTAAATAGTGTATAGTAAGGTTCCTATAATAGGTATTAGGTATATGGTTTATAGTAAGTTGTACTAAGTCGAATTCTTATTTTTCCGTTATGCATTAAATGCCGCAAACACTTATTGAATCAATATTTTTAATGGACTAGATGTACTGATGATGAAATTCACCCATTTCAAGATTTTTTTTTAAATATACAAAAAAAAAATGAGTGATGTCTATAATACTCATATTGTACACTTAATATTTTGTAATAAGTTAAATACATATACCTAGGTATTATATTATTATAATTAAATTACTAATTTTTAATTTGAACAAAAATTATATATTTTTAATAATTTTTTTTTGCATAATTTATTTATAAAAACATGGTATGGTGGAATCTGACCAACACATCATCCTAAAAGTAAATATATTTATTTGACCAGGATGTAGATTTAAAACGTGATGGTTGCATTCGAGAATGGTCTTAGAAAGCTTATGTAGATTACCATTGTGATATCAGTGAATTACATTAACTTATTCTCGAGACTTGTAGTTCAATATAGTTCTTATATGCATAAAAATTCTAAAAAAAGATTTCGTTAATTTATTACTTACGAAACATTGAGTATTATAACTCACTGTTTGACGTTTTTTCCGATAAGATATCGAAAAATGTGCAGTACACAATTTTTAATGTTGTCATTGTAAAATCGGACCTACTACCCCTATATAATTATATTTTAATAGTAAGTATACAAAGCTGATTATTGACTAGTTAAAAAGTTAATTTTTTTGCTAACTTAACTATAAGTAATGTACTTATTATCTTATTGGATTTTCTCATTTACTTAATATCGCATAACTAGCTAATGAAATCATTGTGACAACTTAGCTTTTTCCAGTTAATTTAAAAAAAATCCATGTCGAATTAAAATCGTTTTCATTTTTCATATATTATATTATATTATATATAATTATGGGTACCTTGTTAAAATTAATTAGTTATTTTTTCTTTAGTCACGCTGTATACAATGACTAAAAACAATAATTTTTTTTTCTATATTAAAGTATAAATGAAGTATAGAAAACGATTTTATAGGAATCAGAAACAAGACTTCAGATATAATTCAAATCATAAAATTGACGTCCAAAAATATAACTTCTGTGTAATAAATTAAACGACGTGAATCGATAAATTTGAAATGCTGATTGTGAGAGGAGGGAAACAATTCTTATAAAATTAATATAATAATAGGTAATTCAAGGTTTTTTCAAAATCATGATAAATTGGGCAGCAAAAAAAAAAATAAATTGGCTACAATCATACAACATATTTTTTAACGACACGGTTGAAAAAATTAGTCGGCGTATCAAAGTGTATAGAAATACAAAAGAAAACCACACGATCACGGATCAAGTGTAAACTCTGCAATGTTGTCATTTATAATTTTGAACTATATTATATAAAAAATAATTATTTAAATAATTATAATAACTAAAAAAATGGCGTAAAGGTTAAAACCGTTTTGTAAAAGTCTCCGATAAAATTATTTTTATATTATTTGATAAATGAACATTTTCAAATATTGATTTTTATCATGTAGACATAGACATTATTTTGTATTAAAATACTTGTTTTAAACATTTATTATTATAATTTTTTATTAATTTAAATGCAAATTGTATTGCTTGTATAGTGACGATAATGATCAAAAAATAAACATTTATAATTTATTAATTATCTAGTAACACTGCCGATAAAGCTGGGCTGGGCTCACTGCTCGCGGATCGTTTAAATTTGATATCATAATAATTGGTGTAATAATACGTGAAAATAATAAACTACAAAATGTTGGCGATCTGAATGAGACTGCAACGTCACATAAAATATCCATGAAATGCTCAATCGTTTTGCTAAGAGGGTATTTTTCTCCATCGTGCTTTACCGAATAAATGTAGTTGATTAGTTTTCTATTGACCAAATTCAACCCTCATCCCTTCATCCGTTGTTGCTTTTGTCTATAAAACCTATTGATTGGGTTCGTCTTGCAAAGGGTGGCTAAAGCCTATTATCGCATCTCTGGATTCGCAGTTCACGATTGTTATACAATAAAATTATTCACCGTGACGATATTATACTTACGTGAAATTACGACGATGTGAATATCTAAAATTAATTATATCATACTAATAATATTATTGTAATTTGTAGCTGATATCATTTTTATTTCCTTAATTTCGTTATCATATAAATTCCCTTTGAAATCTGTCACGTAGTCTAATTCGACTTTATAACATAAGGTTATTATAATATTATCGTCAACTGTGTTGAACAGCCCAAACAATATTTGTGGAATATATTGTTATATATATTATTTTACAATAATATATTATTATGACGTAGAGCAATAATAATATTACATGGACCAAACTTATCGTTGTGCGAACGTTTACCTACCCAATCTATCGTAATGCTGTGTAGCATTATGATAAAAACATTAACAATACATCAGTAACGGCGGCGTAAACACAATAACAATAATACGTCGAGCGCAAGGTCATGGCACCACTCTGTCGACGACCAACGGACGTCCATCGTTATTCGATCACGCCATGCCATCCGACGCTAATCAGTGGTATAAATAGGACACAGATTCTTCGATTCCGGCATAACACATTTTTTGTGCAAATATATTCTTTGGTGAGTACCTCTCTACCTACGAAACAATATCGGCAATTTTTGTATTTTGTTCTCGTTCTATAAAACTTTAGCGTTTGTTTGATTTTTTTTGTTTGTTTTTTTCTTTCAGTCTACTCTATTTCACTCCACGACACCAACCAAAATCAAAAATGGGCGCTGAAAAGGTATCCATGAACATCGTTGTCGTTGGACATGTTCAATCTTCCAAAGCCATCAACAAGGTCGCCAAGGCCGCACCAGCCACCAACCAATTGATGGTGAGTTATTGACTCAATAATATCATGTATAATATCTACATACACACTCTAAGTACTTACATAATTGGTCTGTTTAAAATATTCGTTCAAAATAGGTGCAAAGGGTTTCATTTGATATTATATTTATTGAGTTGTGTATGAGATTTTAAAATATTCGTTGGAAACCCAAAAACTCGTCGGGCCGTTTGTATCATATGAATAATTACAATAAACTATAAAATCACAAGATATTATTAGGTAATCGTTAATTAAATCAATTTTTTAATTTCTAAACAATCGATGGAAATTGTGGAAATATCAGACTTTCTAATTTGTAGTCTATTAGTAGGATATCGTTGTCCATAAATATTATAATGATCGTTGATCATTTTTTTTTCGCTATCGACTTATGATACACGAGTAAAATATTATGGTATAAGTTATAACCTAAACACAATTATTATTATTATTAGGTACACATCGTTGTGTCTAATTTTTTTATTTAACACTATGCATGTTTATTTTGTTTCAGAACTGTTAATTCAACATGTAATTCATTCATCGCAAGCTCAAAAATGCCATAGCCCAAACAATACATGTATCTAATCAATAACATGTATTGACATTACAAAATAAATCAGTATTTTCAGTAATTTATTTTTGTTTTTGATTACCTTATCATGCATTTATTTAGTTTTAAGAGACGGTATCGAAATAATATGCCAAGACGTTAGAGATGCTATTTTAATATTATTTTTACAAGACATTAAAAATATTGTTGATTGTTTATTGCCATTATAATTTATACTGTACGAACAATGCAGTTTAGAATGTTTCGACCATACAATACATCCTGTAAACAAAAGTGTAGTAGAATTAATATAAGTAATCAAATACAAATTATACACAAACGTTTAGTGATAAATTGTATATTCTTATTTATTATATCGTATCAATAAACTTAATATCGATGGCCTATAATAATAATATTAATAAAATGTAATTGAGCGATGCAACACGATTGTGCATTTTTTCCTTTTTTGGCCCGACTAATTACACCACGATTGCGCAAAAAATTTTCAACACCATTGCGCTCCGATCCCTTTTTACCTGTTAAAATCACAACACGATTGCGCACCAAATTATATGTGTATATTATAGTATACATTATAAGTACTATGTATAACAATTTATATACAAAATAAAACAATATATAAAATACAAATTGTTTTTTTTCTAAATTACATGTATGCTAAATGTTTAGGTTATTACGTACCTATATCTACTAGTGTCTCACTGTGGCCACCTCTCCCCTATATATAATATAATTCACAGGAGCAATTTTCTAAAAAAAATTTTTTTTAAGGGAAAAAATAAACAAAATATATCTATTTTAAATCGTATTTCAACATGCAATATACAACGATTGCGTGCATTATCTGTTAAGAACTGTAAGATTAGATAGGTAAGTAARAATATTTTTAAAAAGAAGGTTACAAAGTCCCAGTGATAAAAAACAAAATGTTCAACCCCCCCCCCCCATTGAAAACTCCTGAGTACGCCTCTGATGGACGCGCTATGTTATACCCGAATGACGCCTATTTTTTATTTGTATAATAATATATCATTATATCGTATCCGCATCAGTTTTGTTGACATTGATTCACGATTTATATTATACAGAATAATATTTATTTCGTGAATAATTTGATCGGCATCCGTATAAGACATGTATCTCTTGCAATATAATATAATATATATATATATATATTTGGTCACACGCGTTGTCGGATATAAGGTCTACGTAATAATATAATGGGCCGGAAATGGTAATTTTCGAACAAATGGTGTCTACTTAGACAAATGTGCGCTTCGTCTGTGATGAAAATTGTCTGCGGTAGACGCACCCGGCAACTTGTGAATTTTGAAATTTATATTATAATAATATTATACAATAATATATTATACGCTCGCTTGAGTTGACGCACCCGCAGCTAACTGTCATTCAGTTTCGCACGCGTTTAAATTGCACGTCATATGTTTACTATAAAATATGTTTAGTCTACTACAAAATAAGTACATCCTCAACGACATTTTAATACGATATAATTAATATATTTTTTTTTAACGGATTAAAATATTCCGCGCCGACAACGTATTAAAAAAAAAAAAAAATACAGCTCTTAGGTACAATTTAAAATTCTGAGCAAACCGATAAAAATTTATTGAATTTATTACGAATTGTCTTAAGTTATTTTCAATTTTATTATTCCATCTGTCATCACATTTTCGAGGAGTGAAAATATATCGATATTCAACGTTGTGAAAGGTTATTGTTGTAGAATTTTTTTCTAGTTGTAATTTGACAGCAGACATGGAAAATAAAAAATAAAAAATAAAAAATAAAATGTTAAATGAAACAGTGGAATTTTTAAAATGTTGATTTTTAAAATTAATTTTCTTTTCTTTTTTTGATGTAAAACAAATTTGAATAATCTGTAAAAGTTAAGAATTGTTTAGTAGATATTTGAGTTATAATATTAGTATTTAATAGACATGGAATAAATTATAATATTTTCAAAATATTTTTGTGCTGTTTATGTGTATTTTAAATTGTATACTTTAGATTTACCTATATTTACATTAAGCAACAGAGCTGGCTAAATTAAACCATAATTAGGTCATTGACTTAGAGAGTACTCAGGTAAGACCATTGCGGGTTTAGCACGTGTCACATAGTACAGGCGATACGACAAAGTGGCGTCCGACGTTGAGCTCGAAATTTATGAGATTAATAGTCTCGTGCTTCACTCACTGAGCTTACCAGACAGGTTAGGTTGTTTAGTGCAGAAAATGTCACGGAAATCTACAACGATTAAGTAATGCACAGATTAAATTATCTCTCACCATTTTATTATAATAAAAAATCCTAGTTTTAATGACATTCGTTATAATTATAAAATAATAGGTTTTAAAAAGATCGTAAAAATAATTTTATGTCCATGTATTTTATATTACATTATTATAAATTATTCACATAAGTCATTTATTTTTTTTAAATGATTATTATTGTGAACATGAAATGAGTGTCTTTACTATTATTAAACATATAAATAAAATCACTGAATTTAATTGTTCTATACTACGATATAAGAATATTATTATTATTATGATTATTTTTATTTTTTTATTAAATATAAAGAAAAAGACAATTTAAGAATACTATTATATACCTAACCTTCGAGCCAAGCATATAGAAGTACAAAAAATATTTCTTTAAAATATCACATACAATTTAAATTACATATATTTTTACTAAATCTAAATTGTAAAACTGAATTACTTAATGCACTATAAAACTGTTAAATATGTTTGAAAATATAAATTGTCAACGTATAACAGTAAAAAAAGTACTTTTAATGCTCATTAAAAGTAAAACTACGAAATTTGTTTTCTAACAAAAACATAAATAATTATGTTTTTGATTATTTGCTTAAAAAATACTTATTTATATACAGAAATTTATAACAAAATTTTTTCGACGTTAAAATTGTTGATATTCTACTTTTCAAAATGTTCATATTTCGAGTGTTAGCCCGTGTTAAATAACAGTATACCTTACCAACCTGTTTATACAATTGATTTATTTTTACTGTAATTTTATTCGTCGTAAATGGTGTTTAAAACTACATATATTTTAAAATAATTTATCAGTTTATACACACAAAATAATAAAAATCGTTAGTTATTTTAACTCTAAATGTAGTTAATGTCCAATACATTTGAATGTTGATTTTGATTTATCATTGGGACATTAATTTTTAAATAAATGACTAAAAATATATTGTTGTGACTTATATTGTTATTATCATAATGAGGTATAAAAATTAAAAAAAAAATTGTGGTAATTTGAAAAGAAGAAGACTCGTAGTATTAATATGTTAAAATCTCAAATTTGAAGTTAATTTAATATTTTATTATAGTTTATAATGATGCTACTTATTTTTACCATGACATAGTATCAAAAAATTATTAAATAATTAAAATCTAAAAAAACGAAAATATTTAATAAAATTACAAAAATCTTGTCTGTCCATGTCACCATGTCCAATATAATATTATGCTAACCTATTTGCGTATTGTAACATTTTTTTTTTTTTTTTTTATTGTACAGATAAAATTTTTTTTTTTTTTTTTTTTATTGTACAGATAAAATTGTAAATGTTGCTTATTTATTTAATTAATTAAAAATTAAAAAAAATTATTTTCGTGTTAAATTTATAATAATTATTTATTGAAATGATTATGACAATTGCTTGTTATAAAGGTTATGGTAATTATAAAGGTTAGGTACATTTGACATTTTTTGGTAAGCTGTTGGTTTTACGTCATAATATTATTATTATTTCTTTCACCGGAATATTTATATAATATTATTATGTTTGGAATGCACGTTGAAAATCAATAACTATGTAGGTATATTATTATGAATTAAGTATAAGCAAAACGAGATAGATAATTTTTTTACGAAATTGTTATCATAAGCTGCGTCTTTTACTAATTGGTTTGTATCATAATGATATTATATGTGCATTGTATACATCGTCTTATTGTGAGCGCTGTGTATAAAGTATCATATAAAACATCAGTCCACAACAATAACATCAAAATCACGCCACGTCCTACCCATAAAATCATAATCACGCCACGTCCTACCCATAAAATCATAATCACGCCATACTGTTCGTACCACTACTATATCAATCCTCGAGAGATTAACGTATAAAAGGGCGCTCGGGATCTCGATTTCGGCAAAAAGCATTTTTTGTGCAATCCTATTCTTTGGTGAGTGTAAATGTGATTTATGACAAATTATATGCATTTCAGCTGAAGCCTTTCGAATGGCCATTAATTCTTGTTTTTTTTACTTTTAGTTTTCACTTCGTTTCATTCCACGAAAACCAACCAAAATCAAAAATGGGCGCTGAAAAGGTATCCATGAACATTGTTGTCGTCGGACAAGTCCAATCTGCTAAGGCCATCAACAAGGTCGCCAAGGCCGCACCATCCACAAACCAATCGATGGTAAGTACCTATACTAATGTGTTACAGTAATAAAAAATAATGATAAAAAAAATAATTGCAGTATAGGTGCCTATAACATACTCTTTCGATAATTTTCATTTTCGGTAATCGTAGCAATGATCTATACCTAAATATTTTGTTTTAATAATTTCATTAGTAATCAAATCACATATTATTATTATATTAATTACTATATACACATGCGTTCATATTAAATCATAAATATCGATTCATAATTAACGGATATAAAATATAAATTATATACCAACGACAAACAATCTCTCTAATTAGGTTAAGAAAAAAAAATGTCCACTATGTAAGACAAGCTTGTAATTATCCCGATAAAAATGATCTATACTTAATATATTTATTTTATCAAATTTATTAGAGAGATTTATGTCATTTACAATCATGTAAATTTAATAAATGTTACAAAACACGAGTTACATAGTTATAAAAATAATAATACGTTTATTTTTGTTTAAAAACTGAAATGTACACATAACCTTGCACAAAGTAAAAGTATTTTTTAATAACGAAAGTCTGCTTAAAACATTTTATACCTATCATATTAATTATAGTTGGATAGATATGTAGGTATACCTACTTTGTCATAAAAAATACCAGCTTGTGCAGAGCCTTAAACCGAAAAATTAATTAATTTTTCAAACACTTTTTCATAAAAGAAATGTGTAAACAACTTAGTATAATTAGTTACAAACGTCGCTTATTGTATAATTTAGCGCAGTATTCTAATTAACTTTTTAATCCTTTAAATTAATAAATCAAACATTTAATGTTTCTAGAGCTGAAATATATTGTAGGTACGTACATAATATCACATATATTTTCTTTATTCATAATAAACTCTCGGTAGGAAAGTCATTAGAAAGTGGGTCAGATGACATATTATTTATAAAAAGTTCAATAAACAATATGACAAATAAAATAATGCACACAAATATATGAGTAGAAATAAATTTTATAAAGTTTGAGTTTAAAGATCAATGATTAAAATGTATTAAAAATCATGAAATAACCGTAAATTTTTTTTTTTTTGTTTCAGATCAGTTAAATAATGTAATGTAGCCCATCCATTTCAAGCTCAAAAATGCCATAATCCAAACAATACATGTAATTGATGTATCATATGTGTTGCCATTGCTAAATAAATCAGACCCTTCCGTTAATCGTTCGTTTCATTTTTTTTTTTTATTACTATTATAGGCTATTTATTTGTTAAAATATGTCAATCATGTAATATTGAATGATAAACCAATACAAAACAGTAACAAAGATTTTCCGGCGTCTGTGATATTTGTTTGCAATATATTGTCTTAAATTAATAATATTATTAATATCAAAAGCATTCGAGAACAATCCAAATAAATCACAAAATTATTTATTTATTATCGTACTGCTTTGATATTAAAAGAGTATTGCAGGAGAGTGATAATAATAATATTTATAATAATACGATAAAAAAACATAAACAAAACACAGAAACACGTCAAAAATAAAGAATAATTTCTGTGCAAATATCTTAGAAACGTGATAACACGCGTGTTTATCATATTTTGTTTCTATGTAAATAGGCACATTTTCGTTTCTACACACTCTTACATTAACACTTCGATTTTGTTGCGTTAAAATACTAATACAAAATGGACATCTGTGTCGATCCTTTCCCGATAGTAAATATCTTTAATCTCGATTACTTGTTTCAAAAATGTTTAATGTGCATGAAAAACAATTACCACGATTGCGATAGGCTGTGCAAGTACATCGGACAGATAATACAACTATCCACAAACTGCAGTCTAGTAAGTCGTATTTTCGTTAGTATTATCGCGGAAATCATTACATTGCAGTTATATTATGTACGTAAACAAATATCCTGTTAGAATTATTTTTTGTCGCAACGATTTAGTGCCTATAAACAACAATTTTTTTTTTAAATATAAAATTTAACAAATTCATCGTAATTACAACCTCAAACACATTTAAAAAGAATTATAATTAATTTTATAAATATTTCACTCGACTAGTGGTTTTTGTGTAAGGAACGAACTACACACGCACGCTTTAGGAATACCTTAAAAAATTTACTTTTTCGATTAGTTTCACCGAGCAATTCGATTTTAAAATCCTGTCCGATTTATATAAATTATATACGCAATTCAAATCGCGAGTCGATTATCCAATTGGTTTTTACCTATTTTTGTTTTAAATGTCTACTGTAATTCGCAATAGGTACTTAAGACGTTGTACTTTCTAATGCCAATATATGACATAATATTAACGCTTCGGAATCGAATCGAATACACTTAAACGTGCACGACTATATAATATATATACATATATGTGCGATAAAGTATTACGTTTAAAAATTGAATACCAATATATTTTATTTGTACAAAATATGTATATACCATCAATGTTTATCTAATATATGATATAAAATATTATGAGCTTTTATGGATCATTTACCCGATCGCAATAAGTTATTACGGTTGTCAGATAATAATAATATGACGTAGTATAAGCAGGCAATAAAACTACGAGTTATTACGGACCGATATAAATTACGCTTATAAGTCCCATACCTTACGGCCTATTATATATTATTATGTAAGTTCACAATGATATTAATAACCCTCGTCAACGAAAAGCCTATGGTTCGAGTTTTTGGCCCGAGTGCCGAGATCGACGACGGACAAAGCGAAAGAAGCAGAATACCCATAAGACAATAATAATAATAATAACAATAATGTAAATTTAAAAATGCAGTAATTGCAGACCGATTGTTTTCGCGCGTTAATAATATTGCATAAGACCACGCATCGATGTGGCGCGGACAATCGATTCATAGAAAGTTTTAATATACCAGCTAGACCACCGACCTGGTATACCGTATCTGGACTGAAAATATTATGTGTTCGAGTAGCTACTTTTACACGTAGTCGTTCTTTTATTTTTTTTTATTCAGTTTAGAAATCAAAACCCGTATAGGTACCGCACACACAATATAGTCAATTTAAAATCGAAGTTGTAATCGTTTATTTCTTTTTATTTAATTATTTTCCACAACGAAACACAAAATAAACTATCCGGTTAAGACGTATACGCGTATAATATTAATACGACTAAATAGTAATTTTATTTTATTTGTATACGCTGCAGTCGATTGACCATCTGTTTTATGCAAACGACATAATCGAGTTTTTGGCCGAAAACTTTTCGACCGAACCGAAATATACACAATGTCTCGATGGGATGTTGACCCTGTGTTTGATGCCGCCAACCCTAAACTTTGTGACGGAATGTTCGAAAGAACTACCGATATTAATACGGTTCTACGACGTAATGGGTGATGATAAAATATTATATTACTTTATACTTGTTTTTGGTTATCGAAATTGATTTGGAATATATATTTCATCGTTAAATATGGTTATCATAACAAATAATAAAAAATCACGAATCCAACGAACGGTGACGTAAATGTGTACAATACTGCACTGTTATCACAGTCGTAGCCGCTCATAATGGGGGGGAGCGGTGCTAAGAGCCCCAGAATCACTCCCAGATTTCAAATAAATAACCGCTCCCCGTTTGCTTATTGCATTTTTAATAAATATTTTTGTTTTTGAAGTTAATACTTCCGTTTACTACCGTTTAATTTTCACGTATATTATAAAATATTTTTTGTACTCTAATCAAAGATAAATATTATTCACTTTTACTGTGCACACCAACTTATGTTTCAATGACTTCTATTTAGAGATTTAGGTGGGTACACATATTTTAATTGGTAACAAATTGAAAATCTTAATTATTATCTCCTATACAATTCTATAAATACGCTATTGTCCTAAATTATTATAATTTATTTTCCTATTTTTTAATAATTGGTTCATAATAATTATCAAGTTATTTGTTCGTTGTATTAATTTATTGAAGTCGATATTTTTATTCAAATTATCGTGGAATAATATGAGGGACCTTAGCACTGTCTAACTTTACATCTGGTGTGAGCCCATGCATATACTTTTAACTTGTACATGTGTAATGCGAAATAAATAAATTTTTTTGAGAAAAAAACAACATTAACTTGTGATCCCGTCGTGTGTTTAAACCGAAGCCAAATGCATTTGGCTGGTCCAGGCGAACGACGAACTCAATATTCTTCTGTTCGGCGTTGTCCAGTCGTCGGTACTCAGGCGCCAAATCGTGCCGGAAAACTCGATCAGCTTGCATTGCTGTCACGAGGCCCTAGGAATGAGTGATTTACCGAAGACATTGATGGAACTCGTCGGGAACGTCACGAAACAAACGTTTCTCGACGATTTATTGAAACTCTCGTATAGCGTCGCTGCTGTGTCCGATCAATCGGGTAAATATATTATCGAATAATTTACAACATTGCCACCGCCATCGACCTACAACGATTGTTCCTAAACAACACTGGCGTGTGCCTATTAAATAGGAGCCATAATAATGTAATACATTTATTTCGGAAAATTAAATATACCATTGGAAATCGTAACAGAATCTTATTTGGGACGAAAAATAATTTACCTGCTGGTTTTAGATAGAGACGAAATTTAAGGGGTTTTTCGTGAATCGCGTTGGCACAGGACTCGGATACTGCCATACTAATACCGTCACGGGACATACTTTATATACTTTTATTAGCACCTAATATTTATTAGTTCGGTAAGTTGGCCTAATTTTCAACGTATCGCCCAATACTGATAATTGGTTCGTGTCGTTCCTTGTATACAAATGGCTTACAACAATCATTATAAATATTTTAAACAATTTCATAATGACTATATATAATGATGTACATAATGGTAGTAAATACATTCAAGTGTCTAAGATTCATATTCATATTTTTAAATTAAATCTAAACCACACCACACGTGGAATGGTTTGATGAAAAAATATAATTTTTGGACTATTCCGATTTCATCAAAATTTGATTTTCAAGCACTACTGAAAAAAAATACCTTTGCTAATAAATGCGAAATATCGGTGAGTACAACTTAATCACGTATGACAAATTATTTTCAATTTCTTTGACAAATTTTTCAAAATTATAAATTAAAATGGTTATAAAAAAGGAGATTTTGGCTTTGTATTTTTTAAATTTAGTAAACATTCGTTTTGTATACGGTACATACGAAAATTACAAATATCTACATAATATACATTTTTGATACAATCGTTCGGTGGAAATTTCAAATCTTTAGGTACAATCATTCCTTTCTGAATCACATCAATAATAAAATCGACTTCGTTAAAAACTGATGTTTAGAAAAACTTACGTTTTTCGTAATCCCACCATTTTTATTTGAGTTTTTTCCTATAACTTTAGGTAAAAAAAAAAAAAAAAAATAGAATTATTATAAACGACGAATTTCATGACAGTTATGTTTCAGAATTCAAATGTCAATGATTTTCCTATTCAATTCCAAACAATACTCAAATAGTATTGTAAGCAGCAGATTATCGCTAATTGTGCTGATTTGCACCAAAAAACTACCCCTTCATCTTCACTCTGTCCATCGGCAGGATTGGGCAGTATTTTCGATACAAGTATCTTGTATCGCGATACTTCAAAGCAATGTATCTCGTATCTAGTAGGTATCTCGATACTGCTTTTTTAGTATCTTGCCCTTGGAAATTATTTTTCAGTAATACTTACCGATAAATCATAAAATTATAAACTATTATTTATTATATATTAGGATTTAGGACATTATGTTGTTACTAAAATTATTTTTTTTATGTATTTATATAATTTTTAATGGAGAATTATTATTGATATAATTATAATTATTTAATTGTTCTGTAATTGTATTTTGGTTATTATTGCATCGTTGACGAGACAACGAGATTACGTTATGTCGTAATTGATTTGTTTTATTATTATTGAATAAGTGTCAATTTTTACTATTTTATTTGCCGTGTTTAACGAAGGTGGTCATCCTCATCCCCATAATAATAAACATATTTTTTTTTTTTAAAACCAGTCACTAATTTTATTAAAATGTATCGAGTATATTTTTTAGTATCGTGATACTCCAAAGCCAAGTATCGAGTATCTGGTATCGCGATACTCCAAAGCCAAGTATCGAGTATCTGGTATCGCGATACTCCAAAGCCAAGTATTTAGTGTCTTG